AGGAAAGTGGTGGGGCATGTGTTCATTATTAATGACAAGATATATTTTCTTTAACAACCACTTTTTTTTTTTTTTTTTTGAGACAAAGTCTCCCTCTGTCGCTCTGGGAAGAGTGCCATGGCGTAGCTTACAGCAACTTTGCACTCTTGGGCTCAAGCAATGCTCTTGTCTAAGACTTCTCAGTAGCTGAGACTACAGGTGCCCTCCGCACTTTTATAGTGTTTTCCATGAACTGGGCATTGTTAGAAATGCTTTATGCTCACATTAATTCTCATCACAGCCCTGTGAAGTGGGTAACATTATCTCCATTTGAAAGATGAAGAAATTGAGGCATAGAGAGGTAATGTAATGTGCTTATAAAAATACCTACCATATATAGGTATTGAGAATTTATTATTCACCAGGTACTGTACTAAGCACTTATATACGCTATTAAAACCTGCAGTTGTTGGCCGGGGGCAGTGGCTCATACCTGGCCTGTAATCCTAGCATTCTGAGAGACCGAGGCAAGTAGATTGCCTTAGCTCACAGGTTGGAGACCAGCCTGAGCAAAAAAGCAAGACTACATCTCTAAAAATAGCTGGGCTTCGTGGCAGGCACCTGCATTCCCAGCGACTTGGGAGATAGAGGCAAGAGAATCACTTGAGCCCAGGAGTCTGAGATTGCTGTGAGGTATGATGCCAGGACACTCTATGGAGAGCCGACAAAGTGAGACTCTGTCTCACAAAACAAAACAAAACAAAACAACCTACCCACTGAGCCACAGGTGCCACCCATAGTGTTAATTTTTTGAGGAACAAACTTTTATTTAATACGATATCTAATATCTAATTTATAGAAGAGTTGCAAGACTAATACAAGAAATTTGGGAGGTGCCTATGGCTCAGTGGGTAGGGCACCAGCCCCATATACGGAGGGTGGCCAGTTCAAACCCAGCCCAGGCCAAACTGCAACAACAAAAAAAATAGCTGGGTGTTGTGGCAGGTGCTTATAGTCGCAGCTACTAGGGAGGCTGAGGCAAGAGAATCACTTAAGCCCAGGAGTTGGAGGTTGCTGTGAGCTGGGACGCCACAGCACCCTACTGAGGGAGATGAAGTAAGACTCTGTCTCCAAAAAACAAAAATAAAAACAAAAAAACTCCCAGAAATTCAGGAGTGTCTTTTTAACCAGATTCTCTATTTGTTCTATATTTTGTTGAATTCACTTAACAATCTCCCTCCCCGATAATATGTTTATTTTCTGAACTGTTTGAAGGTAAATTGGTGGGGCTGTGCCTCTTTATCCCCAAATATTTCAGTGTTCATATCCTAAGAGGAAAGATGCTCTTATTCTCTTATCTATGTGCTTTTGTTTTTTGGTCTTTAATCACAGAATTTTTATCTCCTTAATGAACATTGATTATAATCTCCATTATAATGATTGTGATCTGTTACAACAAAATTTTAAGTAAACACTGCTAAGTATCTCAGTCAAGGTCTGCCTTCATAGCTGCCTCACTCTGTATACATCCCTTCCTTCTCAGTACCCTCCTCTGAAAAGAGGCCCCCAATTCTTCCTGCCCCAAATCCTCATGGGTGGCTGTGAGGCTCAGAAGAGACAGTGAATATGACCAATGCACTTTGATGCCCTGGGGAGACATTAGGCCAATTTTCTTCTACCTGTTCTCCTGGGATTCCTGCTGTTTCCTGAATTATAGGACTAAGATCATCTGCTCACTCAGACCTTCTACTTTTTCTTAGATTTAGGTGGTATGTTGTCTCTAGAAAAACCCATCACATCCCAGCAAAACCAGCCTTTTGGAATCTGGATTAGGCCACCTAGAGATTCCTGGTGGTGGCTCATGTATCCTTTGTCACGTGGCAGTTCCTAGCTCAGGTCTTGGGACACAGAGGCCCAGTAGCCCTTTCTATAGCCCTGCCAGTTCATACATCATTTTATTTCCCATAAAGACATATCCCAGATGGTGAGGACAAGTCAGAGTTTCTTTCTTTTCTTTTTTTTGAGACAGAGCTTCAAGCTGTTCCCCTGGGTAGAGTGCTATGGCATCACAGCTTATAGCAACCTCCAACTCCTGGGCTCAAGCAAGTCTCCTGCTTTTGCCTCACAAGTAGCTGGGACTACAGGTGCCTGCCATAACACCTGACTATTTTTTTTGGTTGCAGCCATCATTGTTGTTTGGCAGGCCTGGGCTGGATTTGAACCCGCTAGTTCAGGTGTATGTGGCTGGTGCCTTAGCCACTTGAGCCACAGGGGCAGAGCCATAGAGTTCTGGATGTTTGTGCCAGACTACAAAGGAATTCCTGCTGTTCATTCACAGAAAACCATCCTGGGTGCCTAGTTCATTTCTATCTAGTATCTCTTTAGCCTCTCCCCAAGCTCTTTTTTTTTTTTT